CTGGACCTGGTATTAACTATGGCAGGGCCCCTTTGCCCTCCTGGTTCTGGGCAGGGCTGCACAAAGCAAAGTCTGTGACCCTGATTCAGAACTCTGACAAGTTGACAGAACTAGCAGCTTTTAGAAGCCCATCTCCCTCTCTCAGCCACCCACAGCTAAGAACCAAGGGAAGTCTGTCATGTGCCCTTGAACTCGGCTGTCCTCCACTGCAGCTGAGAAGATGGTCAGCAAGACATTAATGGTCTCTAGGACAGAATTTGTTTAGATCAGAGATCTGCCTGGCAGGTGAAGAAAGGTTTATGTATAGAGCAGAGGACATGCAAATTCAAGCTGCCAGGTGCCAGGACCTAGGCAGTCACCCAGTACAGTTGGTTTCCTTCCAAGGTAACGTCTCTGTGGGGATGGAGTAGAGCTCGCCTTCTATGATGGTCTGACTATGGTCTGAACCTTAGGGCCTCCCAGCTATTTCACTTGATCTTCCAGGAAGGAGACTGGCTTTGAGGAAAGGGAAGTAGAAACAAGAAGATACAACTATAAGTGCCCAGCTAAGGAGTTTAAAATGTATTCTGTAAGCAGGAGGAATTTTATCTCTAAATCCTAGAGTAAGAAAGATAATTTCTTATATGATTATTGGTAGTAGTTGTAAGAGGGGTAGCAATAATAATGCACACTGAGCATTCCTAATCCCCAAATCCCACATCCAAATGGCTCCAACAATCCAAAACTTTCTGAGCCAATATGATGCAAGTGGAAAATTCCACACTATTAAGCATGCTTTATCTACAAAATTATTTAAAATATTGTATAAGCTGGGCATGGTGGTGCATGTCAATAATCCCAGCACCAAGGAGGCTGAGGCAGGAGGATTGCCTTGAGTTCAAGGGCAAGGTGGGCTACATAGTGAGTTCAAGCCCAACCTGAATTACATAGTAAGACTCTGAAAAAAAAAAGGGCTGGGGATGTAGCTGAGTGTAAAGGCCCTGAGTTTAATCCCAGTACCAAAAAAAGATATGGATAGATAGCTTTGTTAATAAATTATTTAATATATATTTAAAATTTACATGTATCAAATTACCTTCAGTTTATATGTATAAGGAGTGCATGAAACATACATGAATTTCCCATTTAGACTTGGATCCCATTTCTAAGATACTTCACTGTATTATGCTGTCATTCCGAAATCTGAAATCTGAAACTGCTGGTCCCACGCGTTCTGGATAAGGGATTCTCACCCTGGAAAGCAAATAGAGTGAGCTCTTAAACTGCACAGACTCTGGCGTTTGAGTCCATGTCTGAGCCGTGGGATGCTGGGCAAGCCACTTTCCCCCTCTGAACTCTAGTTTTTGTAGTGTTTTGTATATAACGACTATCTCCTCTTTGGGGTTGTGAGAATTAAAAGAAGTAACACATATGAAAGTGCTTACTACACAGGGAGCTCAGAAAGCACTGGTTCCCTTTGTGCAAAAGGAATCACAGCTGACATCACTGGTGATTCGTGATGTGTTAGACATTATCCTAAGGCGTGTTCATACATCTGATCTAATTCTCACTACCACCTTCGACAATGGGAATTGTCAGCTTTCCCATTTTATAGATGTGGACACTGAGACTCAGAAAGAGTAAGAACCTCACTGAGTACGTGGCTAGTGAACTGCAGAGCCAAGTTAGGTAGGATCGGCTATGGTAGTTCTACCAGTCTGACACTTCATGGTTTGCTCTACTGCTTGATTAATCCCTTAGTCTGTACTACCTTCTCTACATCAATGGTTTAGGGAAGTCTTGGTATAGAAGGTGTTTCTTTTCTTTCTTTCTTTCTTTCTTTCTTTCTTTCTTTCTTTCTTTCTTTCTTTCTTTTTTTGAGACAGGGTCTCTCTATGTTGTCCAGGCTGGCCTTGAACTCACTATGTAGCCCAAGCTGGCCTCGAACTCGTGGCAATCCTCTTGCTTTAGCCTCCTGACTGCTGGAATTTCAGGCGTGCGCCACCATGCCTGGATTTCTTTATTGAGGTAGAGTCTCAGTATGTAGTGCAAGCTGACCTTGAATTCATTATGTAGCCCAGGCTGGTCTCAGACTCATGGCGATCCTCCAGCCTCAGCCTCCCAAGTGCTGGGATCACAGGTATGGACCACCATGCCCAGCAGGAGGTGATATTGAAGGTGAGACTAGAAGGAAGAACTAGAGGTTTTTCCCAGGCAGACAGAAAGGAGGAAACGGGCATGGCAGTGGTTAGGAAAAGCAGGCCCTTTGGTGGGACTGAACTTGCAGCAGGAAAGAGGGGAGGTTTTTGCATAAAGAGCTTTTCTTTTCTTTTCTTTCTCTCTTCTTTCTCTCCCTCTCTCTCTTTTTCTCTCTCTCTCTCTTTCTGTGGTAGTGAGGATCAAATCCAAGGCCTTAGCACTGAGCTACATCCCCACCCCATTTTTAATTTTTAATTTTGAGATAGGGTCTTGCTAAATTGCCCAGACTGGGTTCCAACTTGCAATCCTCCTGTCTCAGCCTCCCAGAATGGTGGAATGGCAGGTGTGCATCACCAAATCCAGTCTGATGGCTAGTAGAGTCGTCTTCTTCTTCTTCTTCTTCTTTTTTTTTTTTTTTTTTTTGGTCTTTTTGAGACAGGATCTCGCTGTGCAGTTCAGGCTGAGCTTGAGCTCACTTTGTAGCCCAGGCTGGTCTCAAACTTGCAAGGATCTTCCTTCTTCAGCCTCCTGAGTCCTGGGATTACAGGCGTGCATCACCACACCCGGTGGCTAGTAGAGTCTTGAATAAGTGACAAAGAATTTAGACTTTGCCCTGTGGCTTATAGAGAGCAGTTAAGGAATTTGAAACTGGGGAGTGACCTGGAAAGTTAGAAAAGCTCCTCTGGTAACAGCTATGGGAGGGAAGAGTCCTGAGCAGGAGGAACAAGAGGAGTGGATTATGACAGTTTAGGCATAAGAAACTGACACTTGGCGCAGGGCCAGGGGATGACACTAGGGAAGAGGGGTGAACTGCAGAGGTGGTTAAGCCGTCAGACTGATGAGAATGAAGTGTCATGGAAGCTGTGAGTTGTGTTGTGTTGCTGGCTTTAGTCCAACTAATTCAGAACAGTGTCAAGCATGAAGCTGTGCAACAGGTGAACAGAACTTGGTACTTGGCCATTAAAATGAAGAGGTCAAGGGCAACTTCTCTTTTGTAGGCTTGGGTGTCTGTCTTGCAGTCTTATTACCTGTAGGGTCCATGGCACACCTAGGGAGTTTGAGGGGGCCCTTTAGAGAGGATTGGGGACCTGTATGTATTTGCCTCGTGGAGTAGGTGGTAGGTTTCCTGACTACCATCACAGGAGAAGGATTTGAGGATGCATCAGGGAATTTGCATAAGGAGAGGCATGGAAAGGTTTATCAGGCAGAGTTAGATATAAGGGAAAATAAAATAGACTCCAGCCAAAAGAAATGGAAGGAGCTTACTCTGATAAAGGAGGTTCACACTGGCCTGGGCACAAAAACACAAGATCAACTTTTAAGGATTAGCAGAGGTGGGCCAGGTCCATAGATCATTGTCTCAGTTCTGCCGGCTTCCATAGCTCTGAAGAAATCCTTACTGTTTGAGGGGCACTTCTGGTCTCCCAAGAGATTTTCTGTGTGTGTGTGTGTGTGTGTGTGTGTATGCCTCAGTTTCTGTCTTGTGATTACTTCTCTTGCTCGGAGGTGATCTCATCATGGGGTGGTCTGTAAGAGCCTGCTTTCCATGAAGTCCAATGTGCTTGTAGCTTTAAAGACTTGTAGCCACTGCTGCAGGGTTGTCTGGAACTAGAGGATATGAAAGCTGGCAACTGAGAGTTCCTGAAAGTTCCTTTAGTTACCCTTATCTTAGTGTCCTCAACTTTGAAGGAAGATGAGATAAATTTGGAGCTAATAAACCTTGTAATACCCAACACGCTTGAGTGATTAGCACGGCTACCTGCAGAGCTGAGCAAGGAGTCTGTCCCAAAGTTTTAATATAGGACACAAACAGAGGAGTTTTCTTTTATCCATTTTTACTTCTTTTATCTCACTACAGGCTAGCCTGCAGGGAAACTACTAACTCCACTTCTCTGAACTGTCACAACAGGGATTTCTTCATTTTTCTCATCTACCACATCTCTGCACATCCAACTCGGTTCCATCTGAATCATGCAGTTCTACAAGCTGAGCAGGCAGGACTGCAGAAGGGTTCAAGTGATTGAAGTGATTTGAAGTCAGACAGATTTGAGTCAGAAGCGGAGGTGGCTCCAGAATTGCTAGGAAGGACTGGTGGCAGTCTGCTTAAGGGGAAACCAGAGGACTTGTCTTGAGGAGTCTCTTTATCACCTTCTCATTGCTTGTGTTTTTGTGCCCAGGCCAGGGTCTTCATACTGGGTTACATCCCCAGTGCTTTTTTTACTTGTTATTTTGAGAGAGGCTCTCCCTAAATTGTCCAGACTGGGCTGGAACTTAAAATCTTCCTGCCTCACCTTTCCAGAATGCTGGGATTACAAGCTTGTGCCACCACATCCAGAAAATTAATTCATGGCAGGCATGCTGCTTTGATTTAGAGCCATCTCTTTGGAATGGCTTGCAAGTTACAGATGGAGGTTAAGGTTTTGTTTTCTTTTTTTGAGACAGGGTCTCGCTATGTCGTCCAGGCTGGCCTTGAACTCACTATGTAGCCCAGGCTAGCCTGGAACTCGTGGCAATCCTCCTGCTTCAGCCTCCTGAGTGCTGGGATTACAGCCATGCGCCACGCCACCCTCCCAGGTTGGTTAGGGTAGTTTAAACCCTTGCAACCCACTCTTCAGTATTGTTATCTTTTTGAAGCTTCCAATCTGAGTTTGGGTTTAATCTCTCTGAACTCAGTTGCTCCATACAGAAAATTGGGATAATAGGTCCCTACCTCATAGTTTGTTGTGTGGATGAAGGACGTAATGTACATACATATAAAGCACAGACCTTAGCACTAAGCACTATGCAGTCGGAGGAATAATAGAGCACGTCTGCGTTCGCATCTATTACTACATCTGGGCCTTGGACTTACGCTGTGCTTGGGAAACGGGATTGGAGTTTCTCCAGAGAATCCAATCATAGAGAAACGGCTCTTTAACCCTTTCAAACCCGTGGCTCAGTCTGAGCTCCTTTTTCCTGCCACAGGCTTCGACCCTGCGACACGGGATCCTGAATTCCAGTGGCTGTCCCGATACGAGTGCGTGGAGCTACAACCAGACTCGGGGACGCTTCGCGGTTGGAACTTGTCCCGGGGTACCTGGCCCGGATACACAACAATTGGCGGAGGCAGGTATCCGTCTCGCAAGGGGCTGTGGGGATTGGAGGAGCTCCGTTTAAGGGGGCGGGTCTCATTCTATAGAGGGGCGGGGTGAGGGAACAGGCTGGCTTTCGATTGGCGAAGGTGGCACGCGGGGGCGGGCCCTCTTGGGGGCGGAGCGCGCGGGGAAGGGGACGGGCGGCGGGATGAAGAGCTTGAGGAAGCGGGCAGGGAAATGTCTGCCGCCGCGGGCTCTCGGGAGCGCGTCTTTGCAGGTCCGCCGGGCGGAGGGAAGGGCCTGGGGTCTGGGCCGGGGTCCACGGCGGACCTGGCCTTCGCGTGGGCGGGGCTTGCGGGTTGGCGGTGGACGGAGACCGCAGTCCGGGCCCCGCGGAGGCGGGGAGGCTGGACTGAAGCTCCTGGGGATGTCCTCGGCGCGGCGCGGCGCGGGAGGCCGGTGGGCGCCGGGAACTCGGGGCTCCGCTGGCGGGGGTTTGAGGGAAGCCCGGGTCCCGCTCGCTGTGTCGCCTCGGGCTGCTCGCTGCCCCGCTCAGGGCCTCAGTTTCCCCAGCGAGCTTGCTCTCCAGCCTGACCCTGCGTGTTTGCGCGTTTCTGGGGAGTGTGCCCCCCTGTGACAGCCTCCTTCGGGTGGGGCGCAGTGCCCGTGGGGTAGCTGTGAGTGCACGGGGCTGGTCCAGAGGGCCCGTCTACCCGGGGACTGGAGGCCGGGACGAGGTTACAGGTGAAAGGGACTAGTGTGGTGTCACACAAAAGGCTGATTGTGGAGGAGGAGGTTGTTGTTGAAGATCAGGAGGCTCGGGGCTGAAATTTGGGTCAGTCCCTCACTTTGCGAGGACCTGCGGACCGGCCTTTTATGGTCAGCTCCAGGTTTTTTTTTTTGCAAGCGCTCCTCGGTGTCTTTCCCCCTGGGTATGCCCACGAAGCACCAGTTTCAGCGAGCTTTGGCATAACCCCAGGTACCTGTTTGTACCGCCTTTCGCAGTTACTTGGTAGGGATGAAGAGTCCGACAAGTAGCTGTGTCAACTCCGGGCCCGCACTCCGCTGGCTCCTACAAGGACTGGAAACTATGAGCAGTGTTGCACAAGAGTTTGTAAACCGAGAGGAAACTAGGCAAGGCCTCTTCCTCCGTGCTTCTGCTTCTCCTCCGTTGCAGCCACAAGATGCGATTGAAGCGCCTGATGGTGCTGATAGTTTGCATCTTTCTTGGGCTTATCACAGAGTTCACTTGAGCTGATCTTGAGAGAGCGATTGCTTCAGTTTCCATGACATTCTGGGCTGTGATACGGGGCTAGGGGAGAGTTTATGATCAGGAGCACATCCTCTCCTTGCCCATCACAGGAGGCTACGGGAATCCAGATAGTTGGTGGAGGACAGGCCTATTGGCAGCGCTGAGATGTGGGTTCAGCTTTTTCAGCCAGTGTGTTAGAGCCAGGCTGTTGGTGTGGCCCATTCTGTGAAAAATCAGGCCAGCTCCGCAGCTAGTTATCTGCCCCTGGGTGAGAAATGTGCAGGGATCGCAGAACCTTTCATTTCCACTCACAAAAGAAAAACTAGCCACATACTGGAGAGGGGTTATTGTGGAGGTTTGGTTTTACTTTAAGTTTAAAAGAATCTGTTTTCATCGTAATATCTGCAGTAAGTAGGATTACACTAGTAACTAATTCCCCCGTTATGACTTCTGTGAGTCAGCTCTTGTTTCCAGAGAGGCTCCTGCCCCTAGGAGTTACTCCTTCTACAACAGGCGGAAGAAACCCTTTGGGCCTCCAGTAGATGCTCCACTGGAGGGAAACAGGTAGTGGGTTTGGTTCTTACAGACAAAAGGCCAAAAGACCCACTTCCCAGTAGCCAGCCCCAGGCAGAAGACTGCTTTGAAATGCTGTTTGTGGCCCACAACAGGAGAATTAAAGGGACCCCTTGCTTATAGGGGATGACAGCCTGAAAGAGTCTGATAGTCTATTTTTTTCTTTCTGTTTTTTGTTTTTTTCTTTTTTGAGCCGAGGTCTCAGTATGTAGTTCAGGCTGGGGTTAACTCACTATGGAAGCCAGGCTGGTCCCCAGCTGTTGGTGATTCTCCTGCCTCAGCCTCCTGAGTGCTGGGATTACAGTTGTTCGCCACTATGACTAGCTAATGGTATTCTCTTCACAGAGGTAAAGAGCCTGTGGTCAGGCTAGTGGGAAGGTAGTCAAGGGTGAGCTAAGGGCAAGGGCCCCTTATGGCCTAGGCATGTTGGGGGCAAGGTGAATCTGCTAGAGATCGACCCACTTTTGCTTTGGTAGAGAAAGGAAAGATTTCACTTTAGCAATTCTCTCCAAAATGTTTTTCTTTGATTTGTCTTTGCTGAATTTAGGAGTGTGGGACTGTAGTGGTAAAATGAAGTTAGTTTGCAGTTGGAACCCATATCTTCAAATTCAGATTGGTATTTAGGAGCTAAGTTGTGATGCTGAAGTGAGATGTATGCTTCTGGTTGAGTGGCCACCTGTTTATCTGATTCTCTTAGTGTCTTTAGCTGTTAAGACCTGTATTGGCCTTTAAACTGGTAGCTGCCTTAGGCAGGAGTTTTTCTGCTTCGTAATTTACTTTATTGCTCTTAATTTGCGTAACTTTTTCTTTCTTTGGAAGGAATAGGGTCTGACCTGGGAGAAATACCTCATGATTTCTAGATCTTCTTATCCAGAAAACCTTACTGGGGATCCTGCATAGAGCTCACTACTCAACCCAGTCACTATGTAAAAAGTTCGCTGGGTGAACCTATGGCACACACCTGCAACCCCAGCACTCAGTAGGCTGAGGCAGGAGGATTGCCATGAGTTTGAAGCCAGCCTAGGCTATGTAATGAGTTCAAGGCCAACCTGAACTGCACAGCAAGACCCAGTCTCAAAAAGACCAAAAAAAAAAAAAAAAAAAAGTTCACCTGCATTTCATCTGGGTGCATGCAAAGACCTGGAGCTGCGTTCTGGAGAATTCTGAGGCATACAGTGGAAAGAAGCAACTACTCACAAGTCCCTTGGGAGCTATTCTGGGTCAATTTAACAAAGTGCTAATAGCAAACAAATTTTGGTCTTTTGCAACTTTTTTTTTTCCCCTCCTAAAGTTGATTCAAAGCAAACCATTTTTGTAGTAACTCAAATTTAGAATGGAGTGGGTTATGAGTATTTTTTCCACTGGACCCAGGAAGTAAAGCCTTAAAAACTGCCTGGCCTGTGAGAGGAAATGAATGCTATTTATGTCACAGGGTAACAGAAAGGATAACCTAGATTACCAGAGTAGGAGCTAGAGAGGATGTTAGAAAAATAGCCCCTGGATTCTTTTTCTTTTTCATCTTGCTTTGTGTTTGTTGACAAATAAAATCTATATGCCCGACATATCCTGGATGAAGTGACTTTGGTTTATTTTAGAGGTAGAACTATCACCTATTGTTTCTACCTTTGTAAGTTCTTCAGGTTCCTATGAAAATTAATTTTGAGTCACTTTGTTTCTTTAAACAAAACAGAACTGCTCATTTTTCTTCCTCCTTTTGTTGTTTCCCCTCTCCATTTTCCTTCTTTGTCCCATTTAACCGCATGTTTCTAGTCTCAGAGAACTCTCAAAGGATTTTTTTTCTTGTGAAAACTGTTTGCTTTGGAATTCTACAATGGTTGTCTAGAACTCTTAAGAGGGGCTGGGCTGGGGATTTAGCTCAGTAGCCCAGTGCCTGCCTGGCAAGTGTTAGGTCCTGAGTTCAATTCCTGGTACCCCCCCCCCCCCACAAAAGTGGTGACACATCAACATTCAATTAGAAGTGGAGCTTTTTTTTTTTTTTTTTTTTTTGTCTTTTTGAGACAGGGTCTTGATATGCAGTTCAGGCTGGCCTTGAGTTCACTTTGTAGCCTAGGCTGGTCTCAAACTCACAACGATCCTCCTGCCTCAGCCTCCCGAGTGCTGGGATTACAGGCGGGCACCACCACGCCTGGCTAGAAGTGGAGCTTTGCATGGGAACATCCTCGGGGACAGATTCAGGAAGAGGAAGGCATCAGTGTTTATTAGAGGAAAGACAGTGTTGGGGCATAGAACCTGATTTACATGTGCTGTTTTTGTTGCTTAAAATACATTGTGACAAAAGCCCAAAAACAAAAAAGAAATACTGTAACAGTTTTTTTTTTTTTTTTTGTAACAAGCTTTTAAGCTTTAATAATGATCCATCTATGAACTGAGCTGTAAGTATGGGTGAGAAAACTTCCATGGGAATTTTTTTTTTTTTTGAGACAGGTTCTGACTGGGTTTAAACTCACTGTGTATCCCAGGCTGGCCTCAAACTCACGGCGATCCTCCTGTCTCAGCCTCCTGAGTGCTGGGATTACAGGCATGCGCCACCATGCCCGGCTTTCACTGGGATATTGTTGGTGAGGATGTGAATAAAATGTATGTCTTAAGTGACCTGGATATTTTTCTTTTTCTTTTCACTAACGTTCTTTGGCATATTAGACTTGTCTCTTGAATGTCCTCTACATTTTAAAAATGGGAGTAAAAGTTTGCCTCCTGGAGGGGCACAGAGGATTTAGGAATGCTAAACTAGCTCAGAGTGCTTTTGCTTGGGAAACAGAGATACAGTCCATGCCACCCACAGAGTGTAGAAGCCAGCTACCTTCTTTAGTACCTATCTTAGGGTGGTTTCTTTTCAAAAATGGTACTTACACCTTTCCTCACTTGCATTTTTTCCCCTGTGTGTAGTCCCTAAAATCCTTGGTCATCCTGACTTATCCTTTTGCTCTTTTGTCCAATAAGCAACTGTTGTTCATTTTTTTCTGCAGTGCCAATCCTATCTGCCCACTTCCCACAATATTCACAGTTCATGCAGTATGCTCTTTCTTACGTGCTGCGGATTGACCTAGGGATTGTACTGAGCTACACCCTCAGCCACTTTTCTCTTTAAATTTTCAGACAGTCTTGTTAGGACACTGGGTTGCCTAGGATGGGCTTGAACCTGTGATCCTCCTGGAAACTAGAGGCATGTGTCACACCTGACACAC